CTGCTAAATCAGGGACGGCTAGCGCAGATAGCCCTCGTGTAGCTTTGCGCGAAATTCAAAACAGACAAACTTATCGCTGACCCCCCGTGATACAACCGTTCTTATGTACTTTATTTTGTGTGTGTTTTGTTCTTCTTAACAGCAATTTGTAATACTGTGCGGTAAACACAACTGTAAACTTTATAATTTTTTATAAAGTGATTGGGAGTAGATAAAGGCTTTACAACAAGCAACTGCTTTTTTGAAGAAAAAAATGCGCAATGTTTTTGCTGGGCAACATTGGTTATTTTAGGACATCTTTATGTTCTGATCTATGGGCAGTCTGTCTCGTAAGAGCTTAATATAATGGAACTTTTACTTTAAAGATACAAGACAAACAGTAACAAACGTTCCTCGAATAACAGAAGCAAAATTTTCACTTGTTTTTATTGCATTATTTACAGTAAACGTATTTGATATTTGATATTTTGATGATATTTTTTACTGTATTCGATCGTGTGCGAAAGTGTTGTTTCCAGTATCAAACCTGGAATTCAGGTAAATCCAGTTGAAGATTTTTTTTTTAATAAAAATGAAGTTACGTTTGAAATGCTGGAAGCTGGCCTAAGTAGGCCTAAAGTTTGTAACACAAATTACGTAAATTACTGACATTTTCCACTCTCCTTTCGATTTGCCTATTTCGTGATCAAAATCAGGAGAGTCTAAAATTAGTATTTCTGATCTATATTTTGTCTCCCACTGGTCATTGCCCAAGATACCTTTCACATAACTCGTCAGACGGACGATTTCTAATGCTTCCCCAGCTTGCTGCGTTTAACCCGTAACTATAAAAGTATTATATATATAAATGACAAGCTTTGTTAGTGAACGAAAGGCCTCTTGGGTAGTGACTTGTGGGAGACAAATAATAGATCTGAAATAATATTTTCCCACATCTCTGATTTGGCTTCCACAAAGGAAGTTGTTACATACCTTCCTGATCTGTGATGTCAGAATTATATTCTTTCGTAGTAGCAAAACCATTAGCAAGTTGCCAGTCAGGATCAATGTCACGAAATTCATCTGGCTTTTCTGACTGTCGCTCAAACCGTGCATCGCTGTTGTTTCCAATTCTAGCTCGACTCTCATTAGTTGCCTCTAAATGTGCCTTACTGGTTCTGACTGGTTCAACCTGAGTCTTGCTGGTGCTTTTCTTTGATCCAGCTGGTGGTGGTGGTGGTGCTTTTCGTTTTTTTTCACTTGCACTGCCTGCAAGTATATTAGATGTTGAGGAAGTGATTGTCAGGTTGAAATTGTGGTTTTTAGAGACCTTAGTCGGTGTAGAAAAATCAGTTTCCTCTATAGTTGTAGAAAGATAACCATTCTCTTCGAGTTCACTAAACACAGAAGCCTGGTATCCACTGGAGTCAGAACTGCCTCTGGAGTGGGACACAGGAAGGCTACTATGACTATTATTGACTCGTTCCTCCCATCCTGTATTGTCACAGAGCCCTATAGTACAGTTTTTCCTCTCTGAGGGTGGGGGAGGAGCTGGACGCTTTTTTATCTTTGTCTGTTGTTGAGCTCTCAGTTCTTCCTCATCTTGGTGGCTTCCTTTACTGCTGGAACTTGTCAAGCTCTTAGTCGGTGTAGAAAAATCAGTTTCCTCTATAGTTGTAGAAAGATAACTATTCTCTTGGAGTTCACTAAACACAGAAGCCTCATGATATCCACTCGAGTCAGAACTGCCTCTGGAGTGGGACACAGGAAGACAACTATGACTATTATTTACTCGTTCCTCCAATCCAGAACTGCCTCTGGAGTGGGACACAGGAAGGCAACTATGACTATTATTAACTCGTTCCTCCCATCCTGTACTGTCACAGAGCCCTATAGTACAGTTTTTCCTCTCTGAGGGTGGAAGAGGAGCTGGACGCTTTTTTATCTTTGTCTGTTGTTGAGCTCTCAGTTCTTCCTCATCTTGGTGGCTTCCTTTACTGCTGGAACTTGTCAAACTCTGAAAAACACAGTAAAGTAAGATATGATGCTCTGACATAGCTGGCCTTATCAAGAGCAATAACGGAAATAAATGTATTGAAATCAAGTCTCAAATTGTTTATTTAACCGCTATTTTCAGAGTTTAAACATAAACAGCGCGAGGTCTCAAACAGGTGGCCATCTTCCCCCATCAGTTCTGAATACTTCTGGTCAACGCAACGGTACCTGTGGAAGGAAGCGCATTATGCTAATACTCTAGTAAATTAACAAGCAACGATTTGTAAACGCAACGCTTCTACAGGTTTCGATATTACCACGGACTGTCTTCTTCACCTGATAAAAGACGAACCAAGGTACTAGCGAAACATCTAGAATCGCTGCTTTTAAATTTACTATAGCGCAACGGTATAAACGTTGTCTTTCATATGTGCTAACTTACTCCATTGCTTCGTTTTCTTTCTAACACTTCCGTGATTCCTTTCTTTGCTTCCCCTTCTCTTGCGGAATATGGAATCAGATGTGTGGCTGAGGAACAGAACGTTTATCAAAATCAAAATCAAGAAAGTTAAAGCTAATTAACTGAAAACAAATATTCATGATCTATGAATTTAAGATTATCATGCACATCGTGTCAGGTTATCATAATTTAGTTAGTGTGTTTATAGTTAAGCACAAAACTATACAATGGGCTATGTGTGCTGTGCCCATCACGGGTATCGAAACCCGGTTTCTAGCAGTATAAGTCCGCAGACACACCGCTGTTCCACTGGGTGGATAGTTATTCTGCTATTAAATGCTAATCACTTTAGAATGTAATCTTATAAACGTCTGAGAAAATGAGCTAATGTTACTTGACTTGCACAAAAGTCTGAGAAAAAGAGCTAATGTTACTTGACTTGCACAAAAGTCTGAGAAAACGAGCTAATGTTACTTGACTTGCACAAAAGTCTGAGAAAACGAGCTAATGTTACTTGAGTTGCACAAAAGTCTGAGAAAACGAGCTAATGTTACTTGACTTGCATAAAAGTCTGAGAAAATGAGCTAATGTTACTTGACTTGCACAAAAGTCTGAGAAAACGAGCTAATGTTACTTGACTTGCACAAAAGTCTGAGAAAAAGAGCTAATGTTACTTGACTTGCACAAAAGTCTGAGAAAACGAGCTAATGTTACTTGACTTGCACAAAAGTCTGAGAAAATGAGCTAATGTTACTTGACTTGCACAAAAGTCTGAGAAAACGAGCTAATGTTACTTGACTTGCACAAAAGTCTGAGAAAAAGAGCTAATGTTACTTGACTTGCACAAAAGTCTGAGAAAACG